TGTGGATAACCACTGTCAACTGTGTTTGTTAATTTATTTGACATTCATTTATCACTCTCCTGATGTCCTGGTGCTGTTTTCTTGGGTAGAAGTATGTGTAAGTCCTATCTCTTGCTCTCACAGAGGGCATGGCCTACTGGGTAAATAAGTTATCAACCAATCACCACACGAGATTGGCTTTCATAGTGCATGTATGCCGCATTTTGTGAATTTATTCATGAACACTGGGTTGCTTCTACCTTTCAGCTACTGTGAATGATGATGCTATGAACATGGGTGAAATCAGATTTTGTATCTTACTACCTGAGTTATTAAACTCTCAAATAATAAGTGCAAAAAGACTTCCTGCAAAGCCCTTCTAAGGTATTACCTTTGGTTGAGGAGCCTATGGTTTTGTTGTGGAGATGAGCTCATATTCATAAGACCAAGACTACAGGCAGAATATGATTAAAATACCTACTAGCACTGTCAGAGTTCACTTTTAAATTTCCTGTGATTAGTTGCAGGAAGCAAAGATGCAAGCCTCCTTCTAGAAAGGTAGTGAACACAGCTGAATGTAAGCTGAGGAGGTGCAGAACCTGGGCACCCAAGTACCTTCACTCCTAAGCAGGTCTTGGCTCACATCTAGGGGACAGTGGAAGGAGCAGGGCAAAATGAATTTTGTGGTTAAGAATGAGGTGACCTGCTTCCTATAAAACAGTGATTCTCAACCTGTTGGTCGCGACCCATAAGAACCATACTAAAGGGCTGTGCAGTAGGAACATTGAGAACCACTGGTATAAAGCATGAGAGAATGTATCACTAGCCAAGTTATTGCTGGCCAAGGTGACTGAGGAACCAGGGATCCTGTAAGAAGTAAAAATAGGGATTGTCAAGCTTCCAGGGATTCTTAAGGGAGCGAGTCTTAGTTGTGAAAATAGACTGTTAAATGTGCATGGGGGACACAGCTTAACCTTAGGAATGCAAACCATGTCACCTAATCCTATGTACCCTCGTATTAACCTGAAATTTAATATAAAAAAAAATACGTGGGAGCTTCTGATAGCCCCAGCCCTTCACCCGGACTCTAAGAAAGTGATTCCATTCCTTCTGTTTCTGCATTTCGCAGCCTCAAGCCCAGGGCTGGTCCCTTCATTAGGTACCCATCTCATCTGCTTCACCCACTCTGTTATTGCAGACCTCCTGCTTTTCTTTCTCAGATGCCTAGTGCCTGGGCATGAGACACATGGGCTTAGGAGACAACCTGGGAAGTCAGGACAAAGGAAGCACTATGGTGTAAGGAGCGCTGACCTTTTGGCAGCGATGCAGCTCCTATCCCATGTTCTTTCTCATGTCCCTCATTGAGTGTTTACTCCTGGCTCCTGTTGGGTCCTCTACTCAGTGTTCCCTTCCTGGTCCTCACTGATCCCCACAGCACACTGAGTTCCAGGGCCACTATTCCAAAACAGAATCTCAAGGCTATGTTTATGAACCCCAAACACTCCCCCTTGGTCTTTCCAGTCTGCAGCTGGTGTTCCAGGACTTGCATTGTTTTGTTCCCTAAAAGGTCAAGACATGTAGGGCTTAATCTGTCTTTGCTGGTGGGGCTCTGGCTAGCAAAGCAAATGTACCAGCTCGGCCAGGCCGTGTTGGGGGAAGGGCCAGTCCTGTTGGCACACACTGCAGGGCTGGCATGGCTTTGTGGGACGCTGGCCTAAGCCACAGACGGTGGCACCAGCAGTCTTATTTGTTCTTTAGCCCCTGGCAAAGCCTGAGCAGATTGGATTCCTGTCCCACAGAACACAGATGCTTCCTTCTGAACCCACCTGCCTAGCCAGTGCTCCACCTTGGAACAGCACAGCCTGGGAAAAAGAAGGACTTGTCCCTGAGAGCCCCTTCTCCTCCCTGTTCTCATGGTCACTCCACTATCTCTCCTCTGTCCAAATTCATTTTCTCTCCCCACTGAGCACAATAGCATGCAATCCAAGTGAAGAAGCATAATTGCCACACAAACAAATGGCTTGATGATAATAAATATTCAAGTATTTTCAGACATTTGATTTCATTTCCATAGTTTCCACAGACCTGCAATTTAATTCCAATTCCTGGTTGCAAAGGCTGTGGGACCTATGAGCAGGTGGCAGGTATGGCAGATGCCAACTGTGTCCAACCAAAAGAGCCCTGACAAACAGCACTCAGGTGGTACTGGCCGCTGCAGCAGGACCTGGAGGCCTGTCCCCAGGCCTCTTGTCCCTCTTCATTTTGAAGCACTCCAGAGCATTCTACCAGCTGTTGTTGTTGAGGTTCTGGGAGAAATCCTTTGGTCATGCTGTTCCATGTAGTCACTGAGCCTGTGGGTGCTGCCTGTGGAATCGTCCAGGAGTATATGCATGGTGATCTAATTAGAGGCTGTTTTCCAGTTCCAATAAGGAAGTTTAGTTGCAATTTTGAGTTTTCAAGATGAAGGTATTAAAAGGCATGGCCAAGCCTGTCAAAATACAAACTGCAGAGACAATCATGGTTTCAGATACACAGTCAAGAAGCTGGCAGGGTACCTCTGGCCAGGTTTGGGTAAGGGATCTTCATTAAATAAAGATCCCAGGGAGAGTGAAACCAACAGGGTAGACCAAACAAGACAGAAAGATATGGGCAACTACAAGATTGTTTCAGAAATATAGGTTAATGTGATGGCATAGCGGGGAGTATTCTCTCTATCATTAGGGTAGAGTGCTGCTGGGGTGAATGATGCTGCTTGGTGGAGGTGGGTTCTCAATACTTCTGCTTTGATTTTGTTGCTAGAAAAAAGAAAGTGTGTGAGTGTGTGAAGCATGTGGAAGTGGCATGTTAGAAGAGATCAAAGAAATAAAACAGCCAAAGATTGGCACGTCAAGGACGGATTTCGTTCTCCTCCGGGTGTTTGTGGGACGCTCTCATGCTCTTAACTTCACCTGAGTTCAGCAAAACACACTCTGCTCCTTCAGCTGGCAGAAAAGCCCGATTATCGTAGTCACCAAAGGTTCAGAAGGGAGGTATGGTGGGAAGGTTGTGTTATTAAAGCCCAAGTGAGTGGCGGTAAATGCAGGTGTGGTCAGGAAGTATAGCTGGTTCGCTTCTCCCGGTAGGCACAAGGACACAGCCAGCAACTTGCAGATGACCACGCTGGTCCTGCCACCCAGAGGTTGTTTTCATTCATCCAGTACATTATCTGAGCAGGACACTGCAGTCAGAGGGCCTGCTGTGAATTGGAGCCATGTCCAAGTGCATGCTGATCAGACTGACTCCAGCTTTTACCATCTGTGTTCGCTGACCTAGAGGGGAGTTTGTTATGTGGCTGAGGTCCTGTCCTGAGCTAGACTCCAGTGCAAAGAAGTCTTCTCCTTCCCATCCTATCAGATACGCCCTCTCTCTCCCCTTAACTCTTCACTCCTTGTCTATAAGAAACAAGCAACCAAGAGGCGTCAACAGTAACTCTGTACAACAGCACCAGCTTCCTACATGGGAAGATTAGTGGGATGTTAGTGGAAGGGGTAGACGTTCGACACTAGGAAGCTCTTAAGCTGGGTTCTTAACATCAGAGGATTAAAAGGCATGGCCAAATAAAGGTTCTGGATTTCTGATGAGATTTTCAAAGTAAGCTATGTATTTTATCATGTTAGGGTAGGTTAGGTTTGTTCCTATCAATATCCTAACTACAAAAGTAGGTTACAGGTGGGCAGTCGAGGAACTGGGCACCTTGTACCAGGCTTGGGTGGCAGCGCAGTAGGAGGTCTTCAGGATAAAAGAGAAAGGGGGGTGTGGGTTGGCTCTGGGTCTCACTTTTTAGTCTGTAGTCTGGATGTTTGGTTAAAGAGCTCACGGGGTAAGTTGGCTGGGTGGCAATAGTAAGATGTGGACCAGCTGAAAATGATTTTAATAAACTGGAGAAGTGCTCAAAGTGAAATTCATCGAGGAAAATGTAGACTTCTACCAGCAGTTAATGCATAGCTACCCAAGCACAAGAAATGGCTATGGATGAGCAAGTGTACTATGTCTGGGACTGAGGATGTGGCCAGTCGCCAGCAGCAGTGTAGGGCTGTGGTTGGGGACAGCCCCTTCAAGGACTGCAAATAAAAGTTTAAAACAGAGGAGTTGTGAGACAGTGTCCTCCCTTCTAACTATCAGTGGTCAGATCTTTTCTAGGACATCCTCTACCCCTAGTCTTCAGGCTGATAAGGTAGACTCGTAGATGGAATCACAGATAAAGGAATTTGGGAATTAAACTTGTAGAGAATAACTTAGAATTTATAATTACCCTTTAGTATGTAAAAAATATCCTAATTGCAAAGACTGGCACTAACTCTTTTTAATCTTGAGGATGAAATGGAGTTTCAGCAGCTTTTTGTGAGACACTGCCACTTGCCTGGCAGCGGAAATCATTAAATAGTAGAATGAGTTATGGTTCTGATTTTTCTATTTTTAAGAAACAAAGTCTCACTCTTGTCACTCAGGCTGTAGTGCAGTGGCATAGTCATTGCTCACTGCAATATCGAACTCCTAGGCATAAGGGATCCTCCCGCCTCAGCCTCCTGAGTAAGTTGGGACTATAGGCGCACGTTACCATGCCTGGCTAATTCTTTTTTTACTTTTTGTAGAGATGGGCTCTCACTATTTTGGCCAGGCTGGTCTCCAAATTGTGGCCTCAAGTGATCCTCCCTCCTTGGCCTCCCAAGGTACTGGGGTAACATCTTCGAGCCACTGCACCTGGCATAGGTTCTGATTTTTTGATGAGATTTTCGAAACAAGCTGTTTTCATCTCCTTAAAATGGACTAGGTTCATTCCCATGTCCCTACCTGATGGCTGAGAAGTAGATTGAGTGTTCAGAGTTTGATTTCTGACCCAGAGATTGCTTGAGCCTGCCTGCAACTGGGTTTATATCTCCAGAGCTGTGCTGTGTCCCCAGAAGCTGCCCCAGCCCCCCAGCCCCATCTGAGGTGCACGGATCTAACCGGACTGTGTGCCTCTGTTCTCTTCTCCTTTGCAGTTTGAATTTAAAGCCAAGAACATCAAGAAGAAGAAGGTGAGCATTATGGTGTCAGTGGATGGCGTGAAAGTGATTCTGAAGAAGAAGAAAAAGGTAAGTGGCTCTGAGCCAGGAACTGAGGGAGAGAGGGTAACAGGGGCAGTTGGTCAGTGTAGGACGCCTTTTTCTTCTTGGCCACTCGGTAGACAGAAGGCCTCCCTTATCTGGCGAGATCTTTTGCTCTGACCAGAAACGATGTTGAGAGGCTGCAGCAGAGCAGAAATAGGGCAGGGCCAGTGGCCCCAGTGGCTCAGTCAGTCCTGGTATTCCGGGTGACAGGAATCACCTCCCATCTTCCTTGTCTTCAAACCACTTTCCCATTGTCATACCTTTACATGTGAGTCTTGAACTCAGAATATATCAGTTTAAGTGCTGTAATAAGTAACAGGATTCAGTGGGGTGGGGGAAAGAGGAGGCTCCCTCGGCAGCTGTCCCCAATTGCTGGAGCAACCCTCACTCCCACCCCAGGTGCCACACATTCCCCACTGTGCATTCTCTCGTCCCCCTGGTATAGTGTGTATTTAAATAGTCCGTAGAGACTCAGCCACTGCTGCTGACCTGTCAGTGTGCAGGAAGGGTGGGGCGGGGCCGAGGTGGGAGGAAGGGCAGGAAGGGATGGATCCATACTGCGGGCATTCCTCTGAGTTGTTCTGTGTTGTGTTGCAACAGAGTAACATGCCTTGGAGAAAGTAGATTTGTGTTGAGGAAGGGGTGGGCAACATATGTTTTCATGAAAAAAGAAATGGAAAAGGGCTTGGCTGATTGAGGCTATGCCAGGAGAGTCATCTTTTTTCTTCCTGTTTCTTGACTTCGATGCCTTTGTTTTCTGTCTACTCATGGTAGCGCTGTAGCGTGGTAATGGAAAGAAAGACCTCTTGAGCTTGCTATCTAAGTTGCTCTTAATTCAAGTGGACTCAAGGCCAACCTTGAGACTGGGGACTAGGGGGGAGTGTGGTGGTTATAGAAGGCAGAGACAAATGTATCATAGTGAGTGACATAAATTGGAGAATGATATGGTTGAGAGGGATCTTAAAAGGTAGGACAGCTCTGGATAGTTAGGAAGGTCTCCCCTATATTAAATCGAAACTTATTCTTTCATGTTTCCAAAATATCTTTATGGATGGTTCTAGAAAGTTTTATGGCTATGAGGTTGGAAATATATAGGGGAAAAAATAGATATACCATTTATAAAGGACCAACTCCTTCAAAATTCAAAAGCATAGGGAGTTTGTAATAGCTTATTCAATATCTTTGACTTTATAAGTCTCCACTGTGGGGACCGTGGTCCCCGTCTTGTTGTTTCTCTGGAGTTGTCTCTTTTGCCTTGCCCCCCACCCCCATCACATATGTGTGCACACTGGTTAGCCACAGGACACTCTGTAGAGGATTGTCTTTCCAGGAGGTCTGAAGAGGACAGTTGCCAAAGGAAGCTGAGGCCTACAAAGTCCCTGGGCCCCAGTTAAAGAAACTGTGATGACAACAATGTGAATATGAGCAAATGTCGTCAGAGGAAAGAATGGGCCATGGAGCACACACTCACAATTCAGGGGCCAGGCTGAGTCCTCGCTTGGCTTTTGTCCCATGTGTCAGATTGCTTTACTCAGCCCTGCATGTGAGGGGAGCTGGTGGCTCAGTGCACTCAGGTACCAGCTGACAAAGTAATTGCCGCTAGGGGCACTTTCCAGGCCGTAAGGTATGTTCACACCCCTCATCGCTTGCTCCTTGATTAGTCTTGGTGGACGTTTGTGTTGGTCAGCGTCACGGTGCCCCTTCAGCTGAGGAGGGCAGCCACACAGGCAGTTTCCTTGCTAAACTGCCCACTCCTTCACCCAGGGCTGAGCTGTCAGCCCTTCAGAGTCAGAAACTCAGATTCATCACTTTCCAAGCTGAGAAATGAGGCAATTGGCAAAGCTCAGAAGAGGCTAACATCTATAGTCTTGACCGAGAGTTCCTAATTCACTTGAGACACAGAGTAGACATGATAGCCCGACAGGTGTGTTGTCCTTCCATTGGAGGCAAGTGACGTGAAGACAGATCACCATGTGGCAGGCCTATGCACAGGGGCACTGATGCTCCCAGAGACCTTGGGGGGAGACACCACTCCTGGAGTCAGTGTCCAGACCCTGCCTGCTATGCCTCTGTGACCGTCTCACTCCTGTACTCCCATGGCCGGGATGCCTAGAATTAGCCCCCACTTCAGTGCACATCTGCTTCTGACTGACATAACCTTTGTCCACTTCCAAGTAGGTAACATTTCAAGGTCTGCTGTCCTAGGGGCTATTCTCTTCCTTTCAGTGACTTACTCTGATATTGTCCAGTATGGGGCGGCTTCCTCGTTTTGCTCTGAGGGGACAATCCTACTCCCCACCTCACTGTCTCCTCCACGTATCGTGTGCTGTATGTGGTGGTGTCCCCATTCTGCATGGGAGACAACTGAGGTCAGATCACACGACATGGTGTGCTGAGGTTCCACCCAGGCGAGGAGCTGTCCCCCACGCACCAGGTACATGGGAGCTGAGCCAGTGTAGCACCTGCCCAAGGCAGGCCAGGGCCCTGATGACTCACTTTGAAACCCCATCCTTGGTAATCTCCAGTGAGGGTTCGCCTTCCTGCTGGCCCAGAAGAGAGGTGATTTGGCAGGTCTTTCCCAGATCCGATTCTTCTGATGCCACGCTTGGGAAAGGAGAGCCTCTCACTTTGTTTCCTCCTCCCACACTTGGTGTCCGTTTCAGGACTGTGGCTGTGATTTGGATAATGCCTGTAATCATGGGGTTCATTTTACACTGCCTGTGACAGATGAATGCACATTAGCAGCAATCAGCCTCTTTGTCATCTTGTTCCCACGTGACAGTCCTCTGGTATTTGAATGCCACCACCGCGCTCACACACTTGCTTCCTCTCTGCTGAAAGAATTGGGAGGGGGTGAGAGTAGACTTGCCATCACGTCAATGTGCAATTTCCTCCAAGGAAATGGGGCAGTGGGGAAATTTCAGTGAGGGACATCACGATGAGGTTAAGAACTAGAGCTCTTGCCAGGTAGCTGCAGGTGGAGAAACAACCCTGGCTGAGATTCAGCCATTAGGCAGGGGTACCATGTGTAGCCTGACATTCCCCACTGAGGATCCAGGGCCTGTGCCGAATGAGTGGTAAAAATGTTGAACAGTCCTCTCCTCCAGCAAATAGCATGTTGGTTTTCTTTCTTTTTTTTTTTTTTTCCAAGTTGAACTATTTGCATGGAGCCTTTTTTTTATTATTGGGGATTCATTGAGGGTACAAAGAACAAGATTACACTGCTTGCATTTGTTAGGTAAAGTCCCTCTTACAATTGTGTCCTGCCCTCAAGAGGTGTGTCACGCACCGTGACCCCCACCAAGCCCTCCCTCTTTCCGCTCCCCCTTCCTTCACCTCCTGCCATGGACTGCCAGTATCAGTTGTTCTCATATCACAATTGAGTACTTTGGATTCTTGCTTCTCCATTCCTGTGATGCTTTACTAAGAAGAATGTGTTTCAACTCCATCTAGGCTAATACAAATGATGTAAAGTCTCTGTCTTTTTTGTGGCTGTATAGTATCCCATGGTATACATATACCAAAGCTTGGTAATCCATTCCTGGATTGGTGAGCATTTAGGCTATTTCCACAATTTGTCAATTGTAAATTACGCAGCAATAAACAGTCTAGTGTAAGTGTCCTTATGACTAAATGATTTTTTTTTTCCTTTGGGTAGAGCATGGGTCAGTGTGACAGGTTGTAAAGAACCCTTGGGACTGGAAGACCTGGTTCCAGGCCCAGCTCTACCCTTTCAGGCTGTATATCTTCAAGCAAATTATTTTGTCTCTCTGAGCTGCAGCTATAAAACAAGGAGTTGGATGACATGATCAGTTTAATGTTTCCAGCTCTAGGCCAGGAGGGTCCCTCTGAGAGCCACTGCCTCCTGAAGAGCCACCCAGCCTGCTTTCTCTCCTAGCTTGTCTACCACTGCTGGAGGGTGATGTGCCTCAAGGCTGGGGCCAGAAGCGTGTTGATGGGGGTCCTTGTGGGGCTGTCTTTGTAAGCCCAGCACTTACCTAGACACCTGACACGTATAGTAAGTTTTCAGCTGTCATGGCTGTAGGCCGGCTGGATGCATGGACATTATTTGTGTGTGGTAACACCATCAAGTCATGGAAATGTAAATACTTAGTAATCAGATCAAATGAAGTCTAGTTTGTTACTCTGATTGCATTCTACTCCCTCTTTCCCCTTGTATTGGTTTGCCAGTTTAATAAAAACAAAACAAGGATGAGAGCCTTTCCCAAACATGGGGAGGCTTCAACAGAAGTTGCAGATTTCTCTAACATTATTTGTAGGACTTACCCAGGTGACTCTATCTTCAGGGCATCATGGTAGGGTAGGCAGTAGCCAAATGTATTATAATCATCTCTCACTGAGGTGTAAAAAACGTCTTTTTAGCTATATTTAACAAGTATCTAAAAATGCTGTCATCTTGAACTGATGCCATCAGATATGAATCTCAAATCCCTTAGGAATCTTGGTTGAATTTGTGGTGTGAACCCAGTTACTAAGATAATTAGCTGTACTTTGTCTCTCAATCAGCATTTTCTTCAGCTCCCAGCTAGGTCCAAGTAATTATATTGTCTGTGTACATAGAAATATATGATTATTTCTTGTAATATTGGAATCATGTTATTGCATCATTTGCTAGGGAGTAGAATCCTGAATAAGAAAGATTAATTAGTCTTGAGCTTCATCCAAGGGATTTTTCTCATAAAGAACAAAAAATGCCCGAGTTCCATGTGGTTTCTCTTATGAACCAGTAACTTTGTTGGAATCCCCTAAGGAAGCTTCTAGAAAGGCTACATCATTCTCATTAACAAATATTCATGGTGTGTCTACCACGTTCGAGGAACTGTGTGGGTTAGGTAGAGGTGTCAGATGTAGACCCTTTCCAGCAAAAATATTTTTTGGCTTTATGTGCGTTCATGGGTCTGTTGCAGGTCTTATAAGATTGTATTATGGTTAATTCTTCCCTCCTTGTTTCTGAGCCTTTAGGA